CGGGGATCAATCCCCGGCTTCACCCCCCTAGTTCCGCCACTGACACCAGCAATCGACGCATACTCGAGGTGGATTTTTATGCGAGTTTTTGTCGCCGTTGTTGTGCGAGCTCAAACAATAATTTTTAATGTACCCTATAACACTGCCGCGGCAGCACTTCGATATTAAGTTTTTTGCACAGGCCCCTGGCAGGAATTTTATCAGGGGGGTGCATCGTGCATAGCAGTGGCGTATATGGGGATAGAGGCCCCCTATGTCAGAGCCCATAGTAAAATTGCGTGTATATTTACACTGTTTACAGTTTTTCATTACGATTAAGTTAGCCGGTTGGTTAAAATTGTTTTTAAGAAATCAACAAAGAAATATTAGATTGTCATTACTGGCTTTGATGACTTATTGACTATGATGTTAAATTCATAGTAAGATAATGTTAAAATATATAAATGACACCGTCAATATTGTTTAAAAAAGAATCGAAAAATTAATTTTACATAATAATTATAAAATTAAATTTCACAATTTTCATTAGTACTGTATAATATGTCATAACTATAACCACCCAGCTCCCTAAAAAATGTATAGTTATGGGGCTATGTTAGTCTTACTGTGCTTGATTGCTTGACTAGTGATAACTGATAAACTGGCCCATACTGAAAATATTTCGTATATACGGCACTGGTGTATATTATATAGGCCGATTTTTAAACTGGTAATGTTTAAATTATTTTAGTCAAACACGTGGAAATATCTTTTCAAATTATATGACTATACAAAGTTATTTTTGTTTTTTTCGTCAGATGGGTACAAAGTAATACGGGCTTTGGCTACGATTGGAAAATCCGATACTGATCGACAACTCGTAAGCTCATCGCACGCGATAAAAGTGACCGATCCATATATTGAATATACTTGTGACAACTGACATTTCCTTTGCATTGACACCATACGATATAATATAATTATATTAGGAACAAAGCGTTTACAAAATTAGGTTTTTTAAAATGCACATGCACATGTGCAAATTTTAGAGATCAATTTGAATTAAAAACTTTATACCAATCTATTGTCCGTTCTCATTTTGATTATGCATTACTAATTTGGCATCCATATTCAAAAACTAGCATACAGAGTTTAGAGAAAGTTCAAAATAATTTTATTCGTTTCTTATGTTTTCAATGTTTTGTCTTTAGAACTCCACATTCAGATTACGAAGTGGAATCAAGTATTTTTAACATATTTTCGCTTGAAACCCGTTTTCTTCAAATAAAACTAAAATTTTTATACAAAATAATAAATAATATGATTGATTGCCCTGAAATACTCCAAAACTTAAATTTTAAAATAAATGCAAAAAATTCTAGAAAAAAAAACTTATTTTACATAAAAACTGTAACCACGTCCTACATGTCTAATTCGCCGTCAAACATTCTAATGTCAGCTGGTAATTTTGTTGAAAATATTGATTTTTTTAATACATCTTTGATAGAATTTTCTGTTCAAATATTAAGATATATAAAATAAAAAATTATAAAGATTTTTGTTTTTATTTTTTATTATTTATTTAAGTTTTTCATGTATTACTTTGTATTCTGTGTATATCTTTTGATAAATTTTAAAATTGTTGTAAATTATTTTTGTAAATTATAAATTCATACCTATCATTATAAACTCATAGATATAAACATTTTGTATTATATTATATACATAAAAAAAAAAATGTAATTTGGAATTAAATTTCCGTTAATAAAGATTATTATTATTATTATTATTATAATATAATCGGAGTCATGGCTTAAATATACAAAGTTTTCTCGACAGTACCCCCCCCCCCCCAACCCCACTATATCTGCATTTTATCACGTTAAGGAATTAAAACGACAGCGTAAGGGACGCGACTTATACTGGCTATGTTATGATATTTTAATATGCATGATATGGATCTTACCCTTAAGGTCTATTCACATTACGACGGAAAGGTGACGGGTCGGTTGAATTCGTCACTAAATTATCTATGCTTTGACAATTTCATTTTTCTTATTTTTATTTTTTTTTACTTAGAAATTTACTAACAAAAAGACTAAAAATAGATCATATTCATAATTCAAATTTAAATACATTGTTATGGAATATGAAAAATATACGACAGTCAAAGCATAGTGAATTTAGAGGAGAATTCAAATCTGCTTTCAAAATTTAAATCGGAACATCCCACTGAGCGTAGTGATTGAAGTCACTGGCAGTATTTTTTGAAAAAAAAATGTTTGTAATTTTATAAAGTAATAAGTGTTGACATCTACATGCACGTAGGTAAAATGACTGAAGTATTATGATGCCCATATACAACGTGATTGGTACTACGAATTACACACACTAATGTTCATTTACTTTCAACACATTCACAAGACCCATATGAACTGAAATATAAAATGCCTAGTTTTTACTCCTTAGAATGGATTACGCTCCAGCCCTCTTAGGGAAACAATTTATGTTAGTATAATTTAAATTATTTGTTAGAATAATACACATCATTTTACAGTAAACCTATGCACTGAACTATAACATAGAGATTGGTAATGGCAGAATAAAAATCCCTGACCATAGAAAAAATAACCCCCAGACTACAATATTACTGACAACCACATGGCATTTTTAAAACCTTATTAGTGTAATTATTACATTATTAATATTTAATTACAAATATATTATTAGGGCACGGATGTTGTAGTACTAAAAAAATAGTAAAATTGATTGCAGTATTGCACTAAAAAATACCAAAAATTGCACTTAAAATATTAAAAATTGCACTAAAAAATAACAACGTTTTGTTATAAATGTTTTAAATTTACTGTTATAAATTATAATCTAAAATTCTAAATAATTCAAAAAAAAAATATATACATTACATTATAATCATGCCATTATAAATGTATTATATTGTACATCATTGCACTGTACTATAAGTGTTTGTTTTAAATTTTCGAAATCAAACCCTCTTCGATTTGGAGCTAGTAAGTTCTTATATCTCGAAAAACTTCGTTCTACGTCGGTTGATGTAAGCTGAGCGTATTTAAAATAAGATAAATCGCTTACTGTTAAGTCTTCGGGTAAACCATCATCGAATGATTTTCTTTGTGCAGTTAGTATATCATTGATTTTAATAATGGTTTTAAGTCATATATAAGTTTTAATATTGCTAAAATAGTTGTATAAATGAGTAAATTCGACAAAATTGCAATAAAATTGAAAAAAAGGTGGGCAAGTGGGTGTCGCTCTGTATTAGATCCGTATTAGATCATATGCACTATAGCCTATAGGGACTGTGCACTTTAACACAACAAGTAAAACATTATATAGGTACCTACCAGTGGCGTAGCCAGGGGGGGTTTAAACACCCCCCATTGACATTTTCCTCCCTAATAAAAATATTGTTTATAGGGTTTGGGACTGCTCACATTATTTTAGATAAGTTATAAATTTGGCTTATGAAATATTTTAAATGTTTGATCAAACAAAGTTTGAATTTGCATATTTTAGGAAAAGTGTACATTTGAGCGATTTTTCGCATATTTATGCATATTTTGCATTTTTCTAACTTAAATGTAGGTACATACAATTGTCGGGAAAAATCATATTTGGATAACATTGAAAAATATCTTTAAAAATATTACGATATTCGTATGTTAATATGTAATATTCGTATGTTTGGTTAGGTCACTGTATAATGGATGGTATTAAATTTGAATTCAATGATATAATATCATTGTATAAGAAAAACGATTCTGAGCGGTGACGGTATGTCAGTCTATGTATAAGACATATTATATGCATATCTAATATCTATGGTATTAAACAAAAAAATGACCTATAATAAATTCCAAATTAATCATATCACAATATCCATTAGATACTTATAACAGTTATAACGCGTTATACATCAACAAAAACCGTGATACTGTCATAGATATATAATAGTACACTTTAGAAGTTTCAAGTACCCACGAATAATATTATTCAATCACAACAAAATAACTAAAATCGTAATTCTTGGTTTAAATATGAAATTTTGTCTAAATTTGAAATTAAAATGTCTGTAAAAAATAAGTGTGTTTATATATTTTTTAGATTTTTTGGTTACAGTATGAATTATTTAAGAGAATCTTTGTTTTAAATTTTCAACTCTTAGTTATAAAAACTGAACATTTTATAATTTTTTAATTCCAACGATTGATAATTTTCGAGATTTTGATAAATTTTGTCAAAATTCCAACTTTAAATGCTTATAAAAAAAAATCGTGCCTATGTATTTTTAATATTTTTCAACTGATATTGTAACAATATATCAGGAGCCTTGTATTAAATTTTTACACTTTTTGGCTCAACAGATAAAACTTTATTGATATTTATAGAAAAAAAAACTAAAAAAAATTGAAAGCTGTAAATGTCCATAAACAGCTCAAAAAGAGTCAAAATATTTTCAAAATTGTATGGTGTATAGGAAATGCTAATATAAACATTCAGTGAAATTTTCATGTATCTACAGTTATTCGTTTTTGAATTACAACAAAATAAGGAAATCGCTACATGAGAAATCGAGTGAAAATCCAATGTTGTAAAAATTTGAATTTCAAACGCTCATAAAAATTTAATTTGACTGTCCGGTAGAGATTTTTTTATTGATAAAGGTAGATAATCTTATAAGGAATCTTGTGTTTCATTTTCAAATCTTAGATTTAAAAAGAAAAATTTTTACGAATTCTTAACTCTATTGTGAACCCCTGTCTGTATGCTATACGCAGTATGAGATATAGTAATAGTATAATATAGAATAGTGTGTAAGCATATTAATATGTGAACAGACAGAGTCACACGGTCTAAAGGAATTCGCTGTGTGGACAGTTTTGAGCCCGAGCGAGCCCCTACCGTGTCTCGCTGTCTGTGTAAGAATCAGTGTAGAACTGGCAGACCATCGGGCAGAACCTCTGTTAAATTACTTAAGTCTAATGAGTGTAGAACTGGCAGACCATCGAGCAGAACCTCTGTTAAATTACTTAAATCTAATGAGTGTAGAACTGGCAGACCATCGAGCAGAACCTCTGTTAAATTACTTAAATCTAATGAGTGTAGAACTGGCAGACCATCGAGCAGAACCTCTGTTAAATTACTTAAATCTAATGAGTGTAGAACTGGCAGACCATCGGGCAGAACCTCTGTTAATTACTTAAGTCTAATAAGTATTCTGTACAACTAAATTTCTTTTAAAATTGATTATATTAATAAAGTATTAGTGATAACTCATACACCACGTATTTCTTTATTAACGAACAAACTCGGTTGTGGAGACGTCCATAACATTTTTGGTGGCAGCGGTGGGATCCGTAGATTCCAGTTCGTTTAACAATAAGTTAGTAAATTTCGTGTGATTTTGAGTTAAAGTAAATCTATGCTTTTAATATAATTAAATCCAAAGAAGAAAATCCGAAGTGTCCAGAAAATCCAAAACATCGAAGTATACAGAAACTCCAGTGTTCAAGACAAGGACGGAACACGCAGTAGCGTCGCCCGAACGAATGGTTAGTAGCGCACGCACGCACACGAACGCGAATCCGAAATACGAGCATCATCGCCGCCGCGTCCGTTGTCCGTGGTACCGCTGAAACCGAACGTAAATTTATTGCAGCGCACACACGCACGCAAACGATTCATAATACACGCGCCGCCGTGTCGATAGTGCCGCCGAACCGGACGACACTCACTTACGCACGCGCACGCATTCGCCGTGTGTACGAAACCGAACGTCTGTGCCGCCGCCGCGCATATATATATTATACTATATATAATATATATACGGAGGAATATAGGCACCGTAACGTCGTGTTTGTAAACAAATACTGCCGCCTAGTGGTATCAAGCAGTGTTCGCCGCCGCCGTCGTATTACGTATATATATATCGTATTATCATATACGCTAATATTACGCGCGTTCTCCGTTTTCGTCAATATTTCGCACGGGCCGTCGCTATAGTAGTATATATTATTTATATAAATATACTACACGAGTGCGCCGTGTTCATAGACGCGTCACGCGTGAAATAAAATTATACTGTATTAGTATTATCATAGAAACCCACTACAGGGTGTAGTGGTCCCCGCGCCAGCAGTTTCGGGGCTAGCGAACTTCGATTCCACAAGCGCAGTCGAAGAGGAAAGTCGTCGTTAACAGCCAAGGAATTCGATTCAAGCCAAGCAGAACATCAGTGCAGACCATCCCGAGCATCCCGAGCATCCCGAGCATCCCGAGCATCCAGACCATCCCGAGCATCCCGTAGAAGTGTTAAAAATTCAGTAAATATAAAAAAAAAAACATGGCAAGGATCATTGTAACTGCGATACTGTGAGTAAAAAAAAAAATATAAATTGATAATAAAAAAAAAAAAAAAAAAAAACTGTAACCAAATCTTGATAAATCATCAGTACTACACTCCGTACTAATTG